GGTAACGTCCAGGTCTTTCTAAAAGCTAAGCTAACATAACCTTAGACCTTCCCTCACAGGAAGCTGAGCTGAGTCTATAACATAATCAGTAGAAATGAAGAATAAAGTTTCTAATAATCAATGAATGAAGATGAAATATTATGTTATGTTGATATTTTTTCTGTAATTAGAGACAAACTTTCAAAAACTTACGAGGAAAATAAATGAAGCTGTAAAATGTTTAATGGACGTCAGACAAAAAAAAACCCTGCAGCAGCTGTTGATGAACTGATCCTCCTCACCTCAGTGTTAACGAACCACAGTTTAATTATCACTAATACTAGCTCTAAACTAGTTCCTATGTAGCGTAGCTGAGCTAGCAAACGGAGCTAACGTTTGATCGCTAACATTTGATTAAATGAGGAAACATGGGTCTTCATCAAAATGCTAATGATGTAAATCATAATGATTTAGATACATTTCATAAAAACAACACTGTATATGTCTAATTATAAAACATGCTAATGACATTAGCTAGGCTAAATGACTGAATAGTACTGGTTCAGTTAGCTTACGTTAACTTAATCAGATATTTCCCAACATTCTAAGCTGTAAGAATATGTTTAATAATAATGTGAATAATATAAAGTCAAACGTACGTTTACACCTGAACTTCTGTCACTTTAATATTCACCTCTGTAAATGTGTAGTCACGTTTTAGCTCAGGATGCTAAAGCTAACGGTTCCAAAGATGTTTCTTACTCTAAAACATTTAATACATTTCATTGGTGTATTTTATTAGTGAATCACTAGTTTGTTTAACATTAACTAGTTACTAAGAACTTAGCAAGAACATCAAGTTTATGAACAGCTGCTGAAACAATCCTTGAGTCTAACAAACATTTGATTCTACACCTAAAACGATTAATTGATTAACTGTTAATCAATCGACAAACATTTTATTTTCATATCTGATTAACTGTTTGAGTAATTAAAGTAATAATTTTTTTCTTGATTTATTTCCTAATAATTTCAAAGAAGTGTCCTGGAGAAAGAACCATGTGTTTTAGTAATTATTAGTGAATATAAAATTGGTGAACTTCCAATTAATTCCAGTGGTTGTAAAAGAAAACGAAAACCTGTAGCAGCTGCAGATATTTGTGCTTGTTTGAAGACGACTGAGAAACTGAGATGAACATTTTTAATTGAATGAGAATGAAAATATTTTTCTTTGTTTTGTTTCTGTGAACGAAGCTTCAGCTCCTGTCAGTCAGCAGGTTAAATCTGCCCGGCGACAGGGTCACATGATCCAAACTAAATGTTTATAAATGAGTCTGAGAAGCAGATTTAATGATTTCTATTGATTGAAATTTTTTCTTTTTCGGGACGTTTGAACGTGAGTAAATGTGTGTGCATGTGTGTTTGTGTGTGTTTGTGTGTGTGTGTGTTAATATCTGAGCTACAAACACTTCATCTAAAATACTTTACAGCTACTTTAAACTGACGTCAGTGTTGAATGAACTCCATCTTTAGTGCAATTAGTTAACATGCTCGGAGCATCACGCCCTGTGACTCACTGTATCAACAGGTTTATAACACACATGCTCTGTATATGGAGACGCTCACTGTGAGGTCAGAGGTCAACTACATCAACAGGTGTTACCACGACAACGTGACTCGTGTGACTGGAACAGCTCTCCGATCAGCTGTCTCAGTCCGTCTGTTTCTCCTCCGAGGTGGAGGAGGAGTCTGGCTGACAGAGGTGGATGATGGGAAACAGTCGCAGCCTGAAAACGTCACACAAACATCGCTGGGCTGAGCCAATCAGCTGCAGCCGTTACATCAGCAAAGAAAACTTTAACACAGACTCGTCAGCCGGTTGACGTCTGACTCGGCGCAGTTCATCAGACTGAGGCTGAATCCAAACGTCCGAGACCAGAACCAGAACCAGAACCAGAGCCTGAACCCAGACCTGAGTCATGTCTAGTTTTCTCCTGATGCTGAGTGTTGACGGAGATAAACAGCTGATTCTCCCATCGCTGCCATTAAACCACAGAAGAAGAAGAGGAAGTCGTGAACAGATCCAGAGCTCAGACGATGAAGGACATGATGATGAGGAAGGTTCATCCTCCTCATCATCATGGCTCCTCACTAACACTGTGAATATCCTGGAAGTGAAGATGGTGCATTATTATTTTTAACATCCATCCTCTCTTCTATCTGTTGTGTTGATCCACAGCAGTGGTTCCCAACCTGTGGTCCGGGGCCCACTGCTGGGCGGCGAAGGTACTGCGAGTGGGCCGACGAATCAGTTGCAAAACAGAAATTACTACTTTACTGAAGAGATGTAATTTTAAAATAAATAAAAACATAAATAATGTTTTTAAATGTTTTAAAATGAATTGATCTTTAAAAACATTAAAAAGGTTTAAAAACTAATTTTTTTTATTTCTCGTATTAATTCTGATCACTGTGACGAGACCGTGATGGGAACCTTCATGTTGTCGCAGCCAGACCACGGCTTATAGTTGACTGTTATCAAAATGAAGAGCTGGTTAGCAACAGGAAGAATTAAACTGAAAAGAAAAATGTTGCATTGTCATCATTAAAATAAAAAGTGCTCTGAGATTTTCAAGTGGGCCATGAGTTGATCTGCAGGTTCACTGATGTACAGTATACAGACAGCTGCTGGAAGAAACTGATCAACTACAGCTGCTCTGATAAAACTCTAGACAGACGAGGAGCTCACGTCATCATGAAACTCTGTAGATTCATTTTCTCCACTTCCTGGTTATAATATTTTATACTTCCTGTATTTAATCTGTGAACACATGAAGCTGGTCACATGGCAGAGACTTTGACTGTGGCTCAGATCTAACAGATAGACTGAGTCTGAATTCATCTGTTGCACAAAGCGGTTTGGTTCTTGACTATCTAAAAATACAATGAATTCTGCGTAAATTAGTAAATTAATTACTTTTTTCAAAATAAAAAAATGGCCGACTGAGGAATCACATCCAGCCGCTGAGCTCCGTTTACCCTCAGCAGACACGGACGTTTGGATTCAGCCTGACACAACTCAACCTGCGGGGCAACAAGGCAACATGTTGGGCAACAGACGAGCAGCTGACTCCTTCATCTCGTCTGGTCTGAGGTGACAGAACCACTCAAAGGTCCACTTACTGGCTTCTCTCTGAGCTCTCAGCTGCACCTCTCAGTCCTTCCCTGTCAGCCGCCTGCTGGACAGTGAGACATGTCGGACCTGGACAGCGGTGAACAAACAGAAGCAGGAAGACTTGTTGTTGATGCTGACGTGGTCACATGATGCAGTTTGTTTTATTGCTGAGCCGTCACCTCCACAGGAAGCTCCGCCCACACACATCCCACCTCCTTCTTCTCCTTCTTCTTCTTCTTCTTCTTCTTCTCCTCTGGATCTTCAGTGGAAACAGCTCGGACTCTGTTGTGGAGGTTTTGGACGGTGAAGTGATGGAGGTCCAGGAACAGGAAGTTCAGATCCAGGTGACGGTTTTGTGGAGACGAAAAACAATCTGACTTTCAATCATCTTCATCACAGGTCAGCTGACAGGACCCCTCCCCCTCCTCCATAATGTTCTCCGTCATCACTGTGACTCTGCTGCCCCCGTGTGGACGGGAGGTGAATGACCTCTGATGGAGGCTGAGGCGTCGCACTGCGAGCAACACGAGCAACATCCACCAGGTTCCATCAGCTGTCGGCTCAGTCCAGGTATCACGTTCACAGCGTCTAAACACTGACTTCCTGTTTGTTTATTTTATTATTGATTTTAAATCAATTTAATCACTTTTGAGACCAGGTTTTGATCCCTCCCTACATGTCGGGTGTGAAGCTTTTTCTTACTTGTGTTGAAAAGTGCTGTAAATAAGGTTTTATTATTAGTATTATTATTATTATTATTACGACGCCCAATTCGATTTCAGATGCAGATCTTGTTTCTATGGCGACTGATCTGCTGATGTTTAATGTTTTACTTTTATTTCCTGTTACTTCTTCTTCTCCTCGTGTCAGGGAGACGCTGCTGTGACCTCAGAGTCAGGTGATAAACTAAAAGACATGTTCAAAGGTGAAACTGCAGCTGTGTGTCGTTAAGATTATTTCCTCCTTCACCAGCTGCAACATTAAAGTGATGAACACGTGAATTATAATCCAATACTATTACACTGATTTAGTTTTTTCTATTATCCTGACTTGTTTTGTCTTGTTTTTATCTGCATCCACTCACTAACATTACGAGTCTAGATGAAAGAGGAGAGTCCGAGATAAAGGAGATAAAGGAGATAAAGGAGATAAAGGAGGAGGTTGGTGCTTTGATGTTGCCTTCATCATCAAAAACATCCACCCTGATACTGGTGTGGAGTTTGACGTAAACGTTCAGACGCAGAATGAACTTGAAATCGTCTCATGTGGTTTTCTGACACTTTATAGCAGCAGCTTGGTTTGGTCTTCATGTTGTGTTGTTATAATCTTTAGCAGTTCGTTAGACAACATGTTCTCATGATGATGATGATGATGATGATGATGATGATGATGATGAATGAGGGAATCTGTTGCTTCATGTCTCTTTTACTGCACGTTTAGATATTCAGTTATAAAGCTGTTTTCAGCTGCTGCTGCTGTTTGTGGTCAGAGGCCAATCAATTTTATTGTTTAACTTTAGCACCAAAATAAACCAATCAATCTGTGTGTGTGTGTGTGTGTGTGTGTGTCTACAAGTGGACAAACAGTTCTTGTGTGTACTATCAAATATCATCCTGCTAGAAAAACTTCATTCTGAAATGATCCAATCAGCTGTAGCCGTGAAGTCCAGTTTAAATGCAGTACTTTAACTTGAGTACTTCTCCTCTGTGGTATTATTATACTTGTACTCTGGTATTATTGTACTTCTTGTACCTCTGACTGTGACCTGGGTCTGGATGAAACAGCTGATGGATCTTTACCTGTTGATCAATCAATCAGATGTATTGATCGACGTGCCCGCAGTGCGATCAAAACCTGTTCAGCTGACCTTTGACCTCCAATCTCATCCACCAACCAGACGTGGAGCTGTATGGCTGCTGTTCCATCTGTGCACAGACTCCGCCCCCTCTGCTGACCGAGATCCAACGCGGAGTCCGGGCGAGTCCGGGTGTGTCAGTGAGCCGCAGGTCGTCTCCATGACAACAGAAAAGTGTCTTGGCTGAAGTTAGAACTGAAGAGTGAGCGATGAGTTCAGTTATAAAAAACGACATCACTACGAAAAGATGCATCAGCCGGTTTAAAATCTGCAGCGCTTCAATATAAAGTGCTTCATTACATTGTTACGTTTTTACAGTTTCTTATTAAAATATCGTTTTCCCTGGAGTGAAACCATAGTAAACATGTTACACGTTGGTAAAAATAAACATTTGGAATGTCTCTTTTTTTTTTTAAGAAGTCCCATTGGCTGATTTTGGTCAAGCTGAACTCGTCCCCGGAGCCTGAAACAGAAAACCAAGGTTGACAGGTCGTCATGGCGATCACACATGATGGAAGATGACAGGCGGTTTGTTGTTGTGATGGAGGGTGAGAACAAGAGTATCATGGGTAGTCAGGTGTTTAGAAGCAGCAAGCAGGACGAACGCAGGATGTTAGAGACACTGAGGTTACGGGTCCAAAACCACGGCCCCTGACCTCTGACCTCTAATATAGAGGAGAAAGACTGAAGAGACACGACAGGGTCTCTGACTCTGATGTCAGACCCGATTCTTTCCTAAGGTATCAGGATTTAGACTTCGGCCCCCCCTCAGAGGATTTAGACCAGAAACACTCTCCATTGTTTTCTTCACTTTTATTCTCCAGTTCACTCGAACTAAATCTACATCAGAGGATCCAGAGGATCCAGAGGATCCAGACCTGAGGCTCAGACTCTCATCAATTATAAACTCATGATTCTCAGATGTTGTTTGATTCGTCTCGTTAACTTTAAGGTGTCGAACCGTGAAGGTCCAGAACCAGGACTCTGACTCGGGACTGGACCTCAGGTCTGGAGGAGATTAAACATCCTGGTGGAGAAGCTCAGACTCAGCAGAAACTCTCTCCTCAAAAACTTCATCTTCAGAATCTGACCTCTGACCCCAGGTCTGACCAGAGGAGGAGGAAGAGGAGGTAGGTGAGTTAGCAACCACTTAGTGTCACCATAGAAACCAACAGGAAGTAAGGCAGCTGATGCTTGTGGGTCTGATCGATACTGATCAGCTGAGTTTACTGAAGGATCAACAGGTGAGCAAACAGAGCGCCCTCTGCTGGACCACCTGATCCTGCTGAGTCCTCCATCTCCTCAAAGCACCACAGTGAGAAAATAAGGCCCAACACACACACACACACACACACACACACTCTCACACTCAAACACACTCACACACACACACACTCACACATACACTCACACACACACACACACTCACACACACACACACACACTCAAACACACTCACACACACACACACACACACTCACACACACACACACTCACACACACACACAGTAAAAACTGTAAAAGTATAAAGATACAAAAGTAAAAAATAAATTACAAACAGAAAGTTTGATGATGATGATGATGATGATGATGATGATGATGATGATGATGATGATGATGATGAGTTAGCATGCATCAGTGTTCATCCAATCAGCATGGACAGTGTCTGTTAGCATGCATCAGTTAGCATGTGTTAGCACACGGCGGTGACGGCGGCTGATTTGGTGGTGTTGGCAGAGGGGGCGGAGCTTGGCGTGTGCAGCAGGCTGACAAACAGGAAGAGGGTGGAGGTGGGCAGGTAGACGCAGAGGAAGAGGACGACGTCTTCGCTGAGACAGAGGACGAAGCCGCTCTGCTCCGTCAGCACCCAGTCTACCAGCACCCCCACCAGCAGGTAGTACACCTGGAATTCCTGAAGGTCCTCCCACTCCTCTCCGTCCACCTCAGGCCCCGCCCCCACCTCCTCTGACAAGCTCGTCCGCCTGGCCACGCCCCCTCCACCGCTGTCACTCACCATGGGCTTCATCTCCGCCCCCTCCGACACCGCCTCCTTCACCCGGCTCCGCCCACGCTCCACTGCTCGCTCCAACCGCCGGCTGCTCTCGACGAACTCCTGCAGGGAGGGGGGCGGGGCAAAGACAGACAGGTGAGACAGGTGAGTGAGGACACTGCAGGTGCAGGTGGTGTTTGTTTCATGATTCATTTTAGTTCTGCAGGTGTTCAGCAGCTGTAGAGCGACAGCCAATCACAGTGAGCGATTGTACTCGGTGTAATCATCCAGTTCTCAGGTCTTTGTTCTGACTTCAATTCAAACTTTTACTCATCGTCTGTCGGTCAGTAAATGTTCTGGGCCCTGAATATATTTCAGAAATGTTCCATAAGTAGGAGCCAACAGGTCTGTCAGATCTGCAGGAGCTGCTCAGTTAGTGCCGTGTTTCAGCCTCAGTGCTGCCCCCTGCTGGAAGCAGCTGGAACCAGCAGCTCCCGATGGAGATCATAAAACACGACTGGCTTCAAAAAGAAGCTTAACTCTGGTGATCGACCGGTTATCGGCTGCAATGTTCAGCGCTTTCCAATAATCAATACTGTTTTTTTTTTTTTTTTACTAATCACAAAAATTGATTAATTTAAAAATCTGCTACTTTCTAGATCAAACTGATGTAGTTTAATAAACAGTCCTGCAGTAAATCCTCCTTTGGTTGTTGATTTCACAGTCACTGATATAAATGTGGTGAACAGACCAACAGAAACATCTGGACGCCACGCTCAGTGTCTGTATACAGCAGTGGTTTTGTGTTGGCGTGACGGTTCTAATATCGGTTATCGGTCTCTTTGATTACTAAAAAATCGACAGCGGCTCTGATGAATCCACATGAGTCGATCCTGCTCAGTCCTCCTCTGCCTTCGACTTTCATCCTGCACTTTAATGAGACGTTCTCTGTTTCTTACTCTGTGTTTTTATTCCGTCTCGTCTGAGGAGTTCGGTCCAGAACCAAAGACCCTCAGCTCTCTGAAACACGTCACGACTGAACGCTTCTTCTTCTACTGTCATCACAGTGTCAGTCAGACATTTAAAAACAACACCAGCTGACTCCAGGTGTGTGCAGGACGTCTCACCATCAGAGCTTTGTCCATGAAGAACTCCTTCCCCGGAGTGCCGTCGTTGTACTTGGTGTCGATGGCGAAGCAGAGGAAGAGGACGTCCACCACGATCTCAAAGATGGACAGGAAGCAGTGAGCCACCAGGAAGGAGAAGAGACACACGATGATGAGCGGCAGCAGCCACTCGGCGTAGTCCCGCTGGTAGTTCAGGAGGAGGACGCCGGCGAACGCCGTCGTCGTCACGATCAGGATCTGAGGACAGATTTAGACTGTTAGCTGTTCAGATCAATATCGTTTTCATCAATGGTCACCAGGCAACGATCAGTTCATCTAATAATCATAATCCACTGTGTGAGTACAAGGATAAACTACGTCACGACCTCTCCTTCAGAACCAGCTCCAGCTTCCAGAACCCCATCCAGTCCTGGTTTTATCGGGTGCAGGTCTGAGAGACCAGAGGACTCTGACAGTCAGGACTCATTAATTATATTTAATTATATTTTATACTCTGCACGAGGACAGTGTGTTGTCCTGGAGACAGACTTCCCTTCACAATAAAAGCCTCAGTGAGTCTCTCTGATCAGCACCTGAACACAGAGGCTGATCTGACTGACTCCACCATCGACTCTACTTTCTTCACTGGGCCTCTGGGACCAGAACCAGAACCAGAACCAGTTCAGACCTGGTAGGAAGTGAAGTCCACCTCACCTTCCCCAGGAAGAGCACGAAGTCTCCGATGGCGTTGATTGTGGCGACGCGCAGAGCATTTTCCACCAGGATCACGAAGGCGTCGCGCGCAGACGTGCAGAAACTGGTGCTGTTGATGGCTGTGGCTGCATATGCATTCTGGGAAATAAAAAGCCAGGTGAGACAGGTGAGACAGGTGAGGGCCTGATGTTTGAGAAGGGGAGGGGCTGTGTATTACCTGATTGAGATAGTTGAGGCACTTCTCCAAACACCACAGACAGCAGATACAAGTTTTCAGCAGACAGCGAGCACACGCGTTCTCCTGAAACACGTCACATGACACATCAACATGATGATGATGATGATGATGATGATGATGATGATGATGATGATGATGGTGTAAATAAAGTTTATCTGTACCTTTCCTTTGAGCTGGTTGTGGACGTACATGAGGATGAGTCTGGGGATCTTGACCAGAGTGATGATGAAGGATCCTTTAGCGACGGTGCCCAGGTGATACCGGACCAGCCTCAGGACTGAGGACAGGATCGGGGTCACCGGGAGCCGGTTCTTGTCCCTGAAACACAAAGTCCACATTGGTCCGGTTTGTTCCTCAGAGTTCCTGTTGGAGACTCTGACTCTTAATAAGAAGACCACATTTCCCATCAGCCCCCTGGTTTTCTGTCCCCCTCCTTCCCCTGCCCCCTCAGAGGATAAACATGGCGACTGTGATTCTTCCTGTTCAGACACCAACAGATTATTTCATCACTTAACTCTGATCAACTAAACTAAATTTAACAGGTGTGTTACAGGTAAGTACAGGTGTGTAAAAAGTGTGTGCAGGTGAGTGCAGGAGGACTCACCTGGTGAAGTAGTATGTGACCACGGCTCCGGCCACAGTCATCTGCTGACAGGCCAGGATAAACTCACTGATCCAGACCAGACCCACAGCGTGGTACCAGGTCAGGTACTGAAGAGGACCCGTCAGTCTGAACTCCGTCAGTCCCGTCTCCTCATTCTGGACCGGGTTTCCTGCAGGGCCACAGTGGACCAGGACCCAGAGGGGACAGAGGGAGACACAGCAGACGGTCAGGTGGATACTGAGCAGGTGAGTCTGCTGCCCAGCAGGGGGCAGAGTGTCGCTGTGGAGGAGGGACCGGACTCACCAGTGGTTCCCAGGAAGAGCAGGACCAGGATCCAGTAGATCCAGAAGAGCAGGAGGGCGAGGAAGGTGACGAAGGGCTGCAGGGTGAGGAGGGGGAGGTGGATGAAGACTTTTCCCGCCACGTGGAACAGAGCGATGGTCAGAGCCACTCGCTTCCTCATGAACAGCATCAGCAGCAGCAGGATGATCTGAAACACACAGACACCAGATGAAACCGTGTTCTGGAGGGTCCAGACCCGGGACCGGGTTTTCAGGGTCTCCGGGTCTTAAAGGATCATTCTGTCTCATCATCACAGAACCTTAAAGAGGATCAGAGACGCCGGGGGAAAGACACAGCAGCTGGTTTACGTACAGTGAAGACGGTGGCGGCGACGGCGTAGACGAGCAGCGCCTGTCCGCTGTCTCTGCTGACGTCCACCTCCTCCTTCACCTCCTTCGCCACCTTAGAGGAGGTGTCGTTCCCGTAGAGCCGGTGGTCGATGTAGAGCCACCAGAGGACGCTGGTCCCCGCTGACACGACAAACACACACAGTCACACTCAGATTCCTACACACACTGATTCAGTAGAAAAAGACGGAACAGGAAATGACCTCACCCAGGGATCCGAGGACGACCAGCGAGGTGAGGATCCAGACGAGGACGGCGGAGATGTACCGAATGATCACCATGAGGATCATGGAGAGGACTGACAGACAGAGGTCAGAGGTCAGAAAAACACAACACATTTAAATTTAAATCTGATTTACGATCGTCTCATCACTTCCTGTTTGCTTTTTGTTTGTTTCTACGGAAACCAGAGTCTGAAGACCAGATCTGATCCTCACCCAGAGCGAGCACACACAGCCCCACGATGATCTCTTTACTGGCGGCGACGCCGGCGATCAGTCGGTGCAGGACGCTGTTGTCGCCCACGAACGTCACCACGGCCTCGGCAAACTTCGCATAACAGGAAACATCCACCGGAGTGCAGCGGTTAAACACCGGCAACGGCTTACTGAGGAGAGAGGTCAGAGGTCAGAGAGGTCAGACACACAGAGGAAAGTGATTTAGAGGTCAGAGAGCAAAGAGGAGAGGTCAAAGGTTAAAGAGGTCAGAGGTCACAACACCTGGACGTACCTGGGTGGGACAGGAAGTTTGGGACACTTGGAGAACCTCTCAGGTAGACCTGGATATTTATGACCTGCCAACTCGTAGGAACACAGCTCAGAACCTGAAACACACACACACACAGGGACACAGCTGATGACATCATCCCTCTGTTTCAACCTCCTCAACCAATCACAGAGCTCCAACAGTCACTGACCGACCAATCAGAAGTTACACACCGTTTCTATTATTCTGTCTCATCATTAATCTCTTTATTCATGACTCACAACATCTTTCAAAATCATCTAATAAATATCATTTTTTTCTACATTATAATAAGACAAACTGATTTGGACGTCAGTTACCATGGCAACAGTCAAACAGTGAGGGCTTCATGTTTTACTTTTTCACTCCTCTGTCCTGACTGTGTGCTGTGCAGCTGTTGTCAATAAAGTTTTTCTGATTCAGACAGCTGCTGTTCATGAGACAGTCTGACTGAATATAAACAGACAGAAACATGAGGTCGTAGGTCACAGTGACTCTGACTCGGGGTCAAAGGTTAAAGACTGAATCAGCTGCTGGTTCAGGTGCGACACATGAACTGGCTCCTGTGTCCTTCTGTGACAGTGAGTCCTTTTATAAACAACATGGCCGCCGGAGGAGCAGTGAGGTCACATGACCAAACGTCTGTGTCACGTTTCAACAGTGAACTGAGTCACAGCTGATGAGGACAAACGGAGCAGAGTGGCACCAACCGCGCACACACACACACACACACACACACACACACACACACACACACACACACATACACACACACACACACACACACTAGCACTTAATACAGTGACAAAGGGAGCATTTAGGCCTGTGTGTGTGTGTGTGTGTGTGAGTGTGGACAGCACTGTACACTAACGCTGTGTCTGCAGACATGAAATCATCATCGTGACGTGATGGCAAGCGTCGGGCCAACTGCTGACATCACTGCTTCCTTTAGAACCAATCACACGCACACGTCCCGACCCTCTTCCTACAACAGGAGCCGTATTAATCACAACTGCTGAAAGTCTAAATATTAGACTGAAGTGAAAATTAAAAATTGAAAATTAATTATTGTTACAAAAATAATGTAAAACTAAAAAATCCTTCATTTTCACTCACAAACTTCAGTATAAAAGTATTTATGTTTAACTAGTTCAGACTGTAAAGGTCAGAGCTGCTCTCAGACACACACACACACACACACACACACACACACACACACACACACGCCTGCTAACATCCAGCAACAGCCTGCACGTAGTGTTCAGGGAACATCTGTAAACTGTAGCTACTCTCTCAACCTGTGAGAAACACTGTACGTAAAATGCTCCTGTGTCCTCCTCTGCTTCACAGCTGAGACCAGGATCTGTGTGTCACCACCACACACCAGTATCTGCACAAAACACCTTCACTTTTCTACTTAAGGTTGGTGTGTAGAATAACTTAAAAGGTTTCCTTAGTTAAGGAAAAATGTCAAGGCATTTGCAGCAAGAGAGATTTTACGGTAAAATTCTACTGTTTCCATGGCAACCTATATTATCTCACAAAGTTGGCAGAAGAAAAAAACGTCTTAAAGAAGTTTGTCGCTTTCTCTCCTCCAGTTGTTGTGATGGAAACTTCACCACAGTGTTGAGCAGACAGTCAGAGCACCTGACGCTCTCACAGCTGATCGATCCACATGAAATAATTCACCAATAATTGATTAGAAAGATCCCGCAGCATCAAACCACAGAGCGTCATTGACTGCAGACGAGCTGAAGACACAGTTGAGGAAAGAGGAGCAATCAGATCAAATCAATAAATCAATTCCTCTGGTTGAGGCTCCATCAAGTTCTTCTGATGGAGGAAAACTCTTCTTCATTCATCAACATAAACTCATGTTGTGGTTAAAACACAGTCAGAGCAACCTGCAGGTTTTTCCTTAGCTTGGTCTCTAAGTCTTCACTGACTCGAAGTGATTCCTTCAGTATCAGACTAACATCAGGAGGAAACCTTAAAAACTTACGTGACATTTAAGGAAACATTAAGGAGAAAACTTAAGGGTGTTTTAAGGAAATCTTAACTGTGCAACTGGCACCTGATCGTTACGACACTGAAATATTCTTCACATCCTGTGTTCAATAAAACCACATTCACCTCAGGTGTGTGTTCAGGTGTGTGTTCAGGTCTGAGGTGTGTGCTCAGGTCTGAGGTGTGTGTTCAGGTCTCAGGTGTGTGTTCAGGTCTCAGGTGTGTGTTCAGGTCTCATGTGTGTGTCAGGTCTGAGGTGTGTGTTCAGGTCTCATGTGTGTGTCAGGTCTGAGGTGTGTGTTCATGTCTCATGTGTGTGTTCAGGCCTGAGGTGTGTGTTCAGGTCTGAGGTGTGTGTTCAGGTCCGTGTTCAGGTCTCAGGTGTGTGTTGGGGGGGGGGGGTTCAGGTGTTTGGTCAGGTGTGTGTTCAGGTCTCAGGTTTGTGTTCAGGTGTGTTCAGGTGTGTGTTCAGGTCTCAGGTTTGTGTTCAGGTGTGTTCAGGTGTGTGTTCAGGTCTCAGGCTTGTGTTCAGGTGTGTGTTCAGGTGTGTGTTCAGGTCTCAGGTGTGTGTTCAGGTCTCAGGTTTGTGTTCAGGTGTGTTCAGGTGTGTGTTCAGGTCTCAGGTGTGTGTTCAGGTGTGTGTTCAGGTCTCAGGTGTGTGTTCAGGTGTGTGTTCAGGTCTCAGGTGTGTGTTCAGGTGTGTTCAGCTCCGTGTTCAGGTCTGTGACCATGTCTATTAAAGACCAGATCGTCATGTCTCTCTCCTGGTCCAGTCTCTCCTGACATCACCTGCTCAGGTGTGCTACGAGTCATGTGACATGAGTGATGACCTCACCGTTGAGCATGGCGAACCTCTTCAGGTCCTGGTAGGTCTTCAGCTCCTCGGTGGGACACAGAGACACACAAAGAGCCATGGACTTGATTTTCCTCTGAACGATGTCGATGTTACAGGGATCCAGGAAGAAGACAAACCTGCAGCAGACAGAAAGCACAGGGAGTCATTAAAGGTCACTAAAGGTCAAAGGACGGACAGGAGCCAATCAGGTTTAACGAGCTGCTCCTTCAGATTAAGAGCGTGCAGTCGTCACCTTCAGACAGCTCGTCTCAAAAACAAAAAACTGGTTCACAGTGACGTACCTGTTCTATAATGTAGAGCTGCAGCTAATCACTCTCATTATTGATCAATCTATTGATTCGTTTTTAATTAACTGACTCAAACATCTCTTCACACAGCAGAGACTCAGGTCTGAATTTTATTTTCCGTTACGATTTTGTCTTTCAACGATTATGAAAACAAGATAATCGAGATAAAACGAATATTGCGCCGCAAACAAATTTCATCCTCCGCGCACTTCCTGTTTTACGTCTCGACGTACGTGAGCGACGTACGTAAGCAACGTACGTAGGAGTGCGTCATCTAGAGTTGGTCCAGAATTTAATTTCCTGGGACTGAGTTACTGAGCGGGATATGTTGAATATATCTTACCAACATGTAGAATACATGTTTCAGAGTTTTCATTTATTTTTAGATACTGAATATATGTTTAGTAGCTTTCAGTAGGTTGTGGAAGTACACTAATGTTACAGCATAGTTGATCCTATTTATTTTTATACAATATATTTAATTGTATTTATTTAGATATTATATATTATTTTATTTATTAAAATTAATTTTAATTAATCTATTCTAAATGTATTTAAAGTTGAAGAAAGTCCACTGTTAAAAAGACAAAGTAATCCTGTTAAATAATCCTGATTATGACTTTTGCCATAATAATTAACCCTAGTCTGACAATACAAGACAAAAAACTGATCATCAACATATTGATTAATCAACTAATCATCGCAGCTGTTCTTTCAGAGCTGACGGGGAGTTCAGGGACTATTAAACACCGAGTGTCTTTATTCTCTGACAGAGCAGTGACTGATAATAAGACACAGGACACAGACTCCACAGGTAAAAGTTCAAACCGGACGAGCTGGTTTCTGCTGGGGGGGGGGGGGGGGGTTGGTGGGTCAGAGTAAAAACGAAGGTCAGAATGTGGAACGTGGGAGAGAAACAAAGACTCTGCAGAAATCCTCCTCCAGCTCCAAGAATCTGAGATCACACTGATCCTGAGACCACCAGTCCCCCGCCCACAGTCCACACACAGGTGAACACACACACACACACACACACACACACACACACACACACACACATTATTCATCCTACAGCTGGAAAACATGGGTGTGGCAGAAAGGCTCGATAGCACCCTCCCATCCCTGTTTAACCTACATGTATAAAAATCAATGGACACATGAAACATGTCAAGACTTACGAAAAGCCTCCAGCACCCGTAGTCTAAACCCAACAGGAAGGCCGCCATTTTTAATTTACTCTGCAATTTTAGTTCCATTTTTGTCATTTACAGGCAGTGGAAGTTAACAAGCTCCTGCTGGAGAATTAATCAGTCAATCAATCAATTAACCAATCAGAATGAATCACATCTGTCAACAACATTTGTCTCATTAACACCTTGACAGTGTTAAATTCACCATGTCACAGAAAGTTGTTATAACTTAAATAATAACCATGTCATGTAATAACATGATGCATGTATCTGTACTACAGTAATACTACAACAGTGCTTCAGTAATACTACACAAGTATCACAACAGTACTACAGTAATATTACCGTAATACTACAACAGTACTACAGCAATACTACATTAATACTACAGTGAGACTACAACTGTACTACAGCAATACTACATTAATACTACTGTGATACTTCAACAGTACCACAACAGCACTACAGTAATACTACAACAGTACTGCAGTAATACTAAAGTAATACTACAGTATGAAAGTACTACAGGAACACAGCTGAACTGGGACCAGCTGACACAGAGCTTGACATTAAGACAGTACTACATTTAAATTACTGCAGTACACAACAAAGACAACACCAGACTGTATACAAATACACAAATATACAAACAATACTACAGAAATATAAATACACAACCAGTACCAGGCCCACCACAAATATAACCACAAATATATACATATACAATAAAAACACCATGATACCTGCCAGTCACCACGGCGACCTGATATCAAACCAGACTTACTTCCTGTCGGTGTGGTCGAGGCCACTGAGCCTGACGCCTTCGATCTGTTCGTTGCGTTGACCGCAGGTGTTGCCGTAGCTGTCATATCCAAAGACGAGGCGAGCGGCGCCGCCGGTGACGATGGTGAAGCCGCAGATGCTGCCCTACATGACAGGAAAACACCAACCGTTAGTGAGGACGCGATAAACCCTGACCAATCACAAGATCCAAAATCAATCAATTAATATTCATTAACAGCAGGACGGGGGGTGTGGTTATATATACTGTATTATATATATATATATATATATATATATATGTAGAAATAACTGCTGAGTACTGATGTAATAACATAGTAATAACCACTGAATAATGATGTAATAAGTCCATGATGTGTCATAGAACAGTGAACGTTTTTCACAGCTGTCTTAACTACAACAAAGAACTGATGACTGAACTGAACTAAATGAAAAACTGTGCAAACATTAAAAACACGANAAAAAAACAAAAAATATATAATAACAGCAGGGGGGGGTGTGTGTATATATATACTGTATTATATATATATATATATATATATATATATATATATGTGTAGAAATAACTGCTGAGTACTGATGTAATAACATAGTAATAACCACTGAATAATGATGTAATAAGTCCATGATGTGTCATAGAACAGTGAACGTTTTTCACAGCTGTCTTAACTACAACAAAGAACTGATGACTGAACTGAACTAAATGAAAAACTGTGCAAACATTAAAAACACGAGAGACTAAAACTAAACTAAAAAACATTTTCTTCAAAGGTCTTAAACTAAATGAAGATGAGGAGTGAACGTGAACACAGCTGCTGAGTCCTAACATCCCCTCTGGATCTGTGTGAAGAGCTGCTGATACAACAATCACAGCACATCCACACAGTCATGTGAGGAGGGAGGAGAATATCCCTGCAGGACGTCGTCATCAAACACTGACACAAACTACAACCTTCATCTGTAGATTAATCTAAACATTTACCAACAAACTCACTTCAGTCACCTCTTCACCACAGTCCTGTTTCACTGCAGGAAGACGACCTGACCCTGCACTTCAACTGTTCCAGCCTTCAAGGACGTTCACACTTCAGCTCTATTCAGCATGTTTATAATGGGAGTCAATGAGAAACAGCTTCACGTCCTCTCCAACCTTCTCCACTCGGAACTTGTACTGCAGACTTTCAGCTACAGACGTCATCTACACCTCAACAGGTCACAGGACGCTGAAGTATTAAAGGACCGTTCAGCTTTTTGGTGTCTGTCACAGTTTAACTTTCAGGATGTTTTCAGTCCTGATCCTGGTCTTCAGCTCGCTAATCCCACAACTGTCCCCTCATACACACTTCATACATCAACATGATCAGGAGCGTGGCCTCGTTCTCAAGATGGAGATAAAAACACGAATGTCTCAGTCATTTTTTATCACAACCACACCTTCAGCAAAGTCTCCTGTAGGTCTACGGTTTTTGTGGTACGTCTAAACAACAGAGGAAGCTTTTTACTGCACTGCATCGGTCTGACAGCTGCCATTAACTTCACTGATTCACATTAAATATCTGTTCAAATTATCCAATATTTCACCAAGAGTCAGAGAAACGTCCAGAAACTGAATCCAGAGCAGTGAATCCTCTGACGACCCCTCAGATGTATCTGGTGAGGGGCCCGACCCCTAAATTATGAACCAGTGGACTGAACTCTCTGAGTCAGTGGCTCCCAACCTGCGAAGTTATTGCAGCTGGGCCCACGAATTATTTGCAAAAACAGTACAATTTCCATGAAAAGATGTAATTATAAAATAAGAAATAAAAAAATAAAAATAATGTCTGCAAATGGTTTAAAGCAAAGTTTAAAGCCGGACCACATTATGTACTGTATCTCAGTCTGAGCTGAAAGATCAGATCCACGGAAAAACTGGAGAATCAAAATGGAACAGAAAGAATTAAAAAGGAAAGAGAGTTAAGATTATCATTAAAATAAAACTGCTCTGAGAAGACATTATATGGTCTCCATTTTATTATGGGGTCAGATCTTCAATAGCCATGAGTGAGCACCATGAGTTGGAAAAGGTTGGTAACCGCTGGTCTAAGTCTATATGACATAGAGAGGGGGATAAAATAAAAATAATAAGAATAAGAAGAAGAAGAAGAAGAAGAAGAAGAAATATAATCCTAATAATAACAATAATAATAATAATGATAATAATAAGAAGAAGAATAGGAGGAAGAAGAAGAAAGGGACGAAGATGAAGATTCATAACAATAAGAAGAAGAAGAAGAAAGGAAAGAAGATTAATAATAATAATAATAATGATAATAATACTACTACTAATAATAAGAATCATTATTATAATAATGAGAAGAAGAAGAATCATGACAATAACCTATCAGCCACTACTTATACCTTTTATACAGTACAATTCGCTGAGAGTACTTCTCTAACTATATAACTACTGTAGTATTTCTACATTGTGATACAGGTACTTTTACTGTGAAGGATCTCCTCCACTGCTGCTGAGGTTCAGCAGAATGAGACACAAACACAGATATTACACTAGGTACCATGGTATCGTTGTAGTACTATCACAGTACTATCACAGTACTATGATCTAAACACACTGTGGTGATGATGGCGGGATTATTGTGGTTACCATGCCGACGCAGAAGACGGTGAAGAGCAGGAACCAGGGCAGGTCCGTGCAGCTCCGGTCCTCCAGCGGTCTCCATTCTCTCTTTGTCCTCTGAAACACACAAAAACACGGTCACACCGAGAGCAGCTCCGGGCCTGCGGGACCGGGCCGAGCCGAGCCGGTCTACACCCACACTCCGCCCGCTCCCGGCCTGTTAGCTCGGCTCGGCTCGGCTCGGTTTCATCACTAATCAGATCACACACAGCTGCACTGAACCGGAGCTCCGGGCCGGTTGTTTACGGGGAGCAGCAGACATGACGGTCCCGTTAACAGGCCCCAGTGACCCGCCTGTCCCCGGGAAGAGCTAATTGGATTACGGCTCCTGGCTCTAATCCCAGCTCGGCCCTCTCTGTTCCCTGGGACCGGTTTCCCTTTCACGGTGAAAAAATAAACACGCACCGGGCAGAGATGAAGGGCACCGGGGGTGGGGGGAGGAGGAGGGAGGAGGGAGGACGGGACCGGGCCGGGCCGGACCGGGCCGGGCCGGGCCGTGCTTACCTCCGCGCTACCGCAGCATCCCATTGCAGTCAGGGTGGACGTGCCCGGAGCCTCACGGAGCCTCACGGAGCCTCACGGAGCTTCAGCTCAGCAGCAGCGGGGTCTGCAGCCCGACAGGCGGGGGGGAGGACACGGACAGCCCCGCGCGCTCTGCCTGCATGCACTCACTGCGCAGCGGCGCGATCCCGGAGGCCGAGCCCGGAGCGGAGACGGTCCCGACGGTCAGACTGAGCGCTCCGGCCCGCTGAGCATGCTACTGTCGGTGCCTCCTCCGGTTACCGTACCGAGCGGGGATTAACGGCCGAGGATTTGTCCGCCACACTTCCTGGTGGGCCGTCAGGTACAGCGGCCATTCATCTCATTGCGCATGCGCAATTGGTGCTCGTGCCGGAGCCGAGAACAAACGGTTTTACCGGAGCTGCGGGTGCAGTACCGGAGGTGACCACTGAGTGGAGACTAATGAGAGGGTGGCGCTGTTTCCTCTGCTGGAAAAACTCATGTAGAAAAACATTTAGACACAGTTTGACTCTGCTCCTCTCTCTCTGTCTGGAGTTTTATTTTGTATTTTCTTCTGATTTCCTGTCAGAGTTTGGCTCTGCTCCTCGTTTTGTCTGGAGTTTTATTTTGTATTTTCCTCTGGTTTCCTGTCAGCTCTCCAATTAATGATCCGACTTTTATTTTGACATTCATGTGGACATGTTCTTATTGTATTTTATAGGAAACACCTGTCAGGACATGAGGGCAGAGAACAGGGATGACTGAATAATCTTCAAAGATCTAAGTGATTTTCAGACAAAGAGCTTCACATGTGACAATAACAACAACATTTAAACCCGTCATCGATTTACTGCAGTAAATAAGGTCAAAGCGCTGATATGAAGTCAAACCAGGAGCAGCATTTTCTCCTTTCCTTTCGTAAAGGAAGCTCCAGTGTTTCCTAGCTGAAGGAGATGAGGTAGGAAGCATTAAAGCTCCTTTCCTCAGCTCTGACCATGGCTGCAGCTCAGTTTGAAACTTCAGAATAAAAGCGCAGCCTGGAGAGAGAGAGGTGGAGTCCTCACACTGAACACACGCTGACATCTTCGTTTCAGTTCAACATGAACACAGAGTTTACTGTTTACAGTGTTTACTGTCATTTTACAGTCTCCACCAGTCACCACACACACACACACACACACACACACACACACACACACACACACACATCAACCAGCGGTGGAGAGTAACCAAGTCAATTATTTGTTCTTGAAAACAAATTTTGAAGTATTGATACTTGTACTTTTACTGCTCTTCATGTATTTAACAGCTGAGTTTCTGTGACTGTGAATGTTTAATGTTGTGATTTCAGAGTAAAACAGGAAACATGAGAGAATGTGCAGGTGAAGCGATTTAATCCAACACTCCTGCAGTGATGGCTCATCTGACTCCTTTTATACTTGGTCTCTACCTGACAAGTTATTAATTGAGTTATTGGTTATTGATTGTGAAGAGAAGCTCTGATAGAATATTTATTTCAGGGTAAAAGCACCTTGTTAATTTCATTACTTGTACATCTGATCTTTTCTCAGCGTGAAAACAATAAAACACTGTGACACATGTTGAGATGTGAATGTCAGAAATGAGATGAAATCAAATAAAGTCTGTGTGTGTCTGTGTGTGTGTGTGTGTGTGTGTGTGTGTGTGTTTACAAAGAATAAAGTTTATAATGTGTTCAGATCAGATCATTAATCCTGAGTCATTTTACTGTTGTAGCTGCTTTAACTACGTCAGATACACTCAGATAGTTCAGTCCAGTGGTTCCCAACCTAGGGGTCAGGCCCCTCTAAAGGGTCACCAGGTAAATCTGAGGGGTCTGGATTCAGTTTGTGGACTTTTTTCTGACTCTTGGTGAAATATTGAATAATTTGAACAGTTGTATTTTGTTATAAGTAAAGTCAAAGTGTAAAGGAGCAGAGAATGGAAACACTCTGGTAAAGTAGTGAAATGTGAAATGTTTGATCGGAGACGTGAGAAGTTTTGAGGGAAAATGGAAACAGCTGAGAGGCTGAAACATGATGAGGTCAAAGGTCAAACAGGTTTGTAAACCTCTGCTTTAATATTTAAACGTGTTTTCTGAGGTTTATCTCCTTAATAAACTGTAACTACAGCTGAGAGATAAATGTGGAGCAGCAGACACAGAGTCCTGCTCTCTGTAAACACTTCACTGGTTCTCCTTCGTTCTGTTCTGGTGTTGTGTTTATGTTTCCAGGTTAAAGACTGAAACAGGAAGAAGGACATGTAAATGAGTCCCACTGCTGTACCACAGTAACTTAGTCACAGTCCTCCACTGTATCTCCCTCTCTGCTGTTTGCACAGAAAACAAACACTCCTTTACCTTTTTCCTGAGGCGAACCTGCTGCTGAGAGCTGGAGGACAGACGCTTGGGGTCCATGTTCCTGTAGAGGGTCCTGGAGGGTCCTGGAGGGTCCTGAAGGGTCCTGGAGGGTCCTGGAGGTCCTGGGGGTCCTGGAGGTCCTGGAGGGTCCTGGTGTTCCTGTCGGACTGAGCACAGCAGTGATGTGGGTCTGATCAGCCTGCAGAGCAGAGCACAGAGAGCTTTTGTCTTATTGTTTACTGTTGTACCAGGCTGTGTGTGTGTGTGTGTGTGTGTGTGTGTGTGTGCGTGCGTGTGTGTGTGTGTGTGTGTGTGTGTGTGTGTGTGTGTGTGTGTGTGTGTGTGTGTGTGTGTATCATGTCTTATCAAACAGTAGATTTTCAGTCAAACTCGACAGGAAACATTTTTGTCTCCTCTCACAGAAACTTCATTAAACTCATTTTAATACAGAATCTGTTTTCAGGTCAGAGGTCACAGGTCACATTTATCCTTTTTATAATGGACATTTTGTAAGTGTTGAGATCCTTTAGTTCAGTAAATGTATGAAAATACTCCGCTCCTTCAGTATAAAATAATCCATAGGTTTTATTTTATGCCACAGGATGCGTTTACTGACTAATAATTTATGTTGGAAATGTCAGACAGAAATAGTAAATAATAAATTTTTACCTGCAATTTGGGAGTGTAAACTTGTTTACCCATTTTGGAAAAAAGTACTGGAACACGTAGGGAAATGGGCGGACTTGATGATACCTGTGTCGCCATATGACTTTACAGTGATAAAGGTCAGGGGTCATCATGGCTGCCTGACTGATTCTCAGATCATGGAAAACTCTGTCTGAGTTTGTGTTTGTATCATATGAACACATGTTGAAGGTGAAAACTTTAAGAGGTCTTGGGACAGGTTGAGACACTGTGATGATCTGGTTCTATTACTTTAATTGCTATTTGTTTATTTTGGTTTTAAATATGTCTTAGAATATCTCATAACCAAAGATGATAATACCGTCTGTTTGTGTGTATAGAAATAAGTTAAAAACGGTAAAAACTTAAGTGATAAAAAAAAAGAAAATACTCCAGGCCGGTATTTGACATTTTACTGAAGTAAAAGAACAAGTATTTATTGTTGTTGTTTTCGTGACAATTGAAACTTATGTGAACATTTCAAACACAAATGTCCTGGAACGTCACAACTGAATAAACTAGAATCACCTCCTCCCCCACTCAGACTAGTTTCAGGTTACATCCCTGAGATAAATGAGTTTTATATCCTGTTCATTGTCTATCACAGTTTATAATCTGATCATGTGTTTTATATGTAACATGAGATGTTGTGCAGTGACACACAGTCAGCTCCAAACTGCAGTGAACACCTGAGGAAATGTACTGAGTTACTGTCACCGCTGGACGGTCCATCAGTTACACTGTAGAGCCCTCAGAGCTGCGATTCACAGACAGACAGTGAACACATCAGACTTCATTAGAGAGCAGAGGCTCCTCTCGTGTCGCTGCTGGTAAACACAGATATTCCAGCTCCTTTCAGAGAGGTCCATGGCTCTGCGGAGACTCGGAGCTTCAACAATAATCAGTGTGTGAGAGCTGGACGTGTCCACCGTCTGTCCTCTGGATGGTGTGTGAGGACGTCTGTTTCTTACTCTGCTTACTTCTTTGTCCATTGTCCTGATGTCACTCAGACGTGACCTCTGGTCCAGGCTCATGTTTACATTCAGTCCTCTTTTAACTGACACAAGAAAACACAGTTCTCCTGCCGCAGCAGCTGAGTACTGTCACTACAACACTGTACTAAAACACAGTTTCAGGTACTTTACTTTCTACTACTCTACACTTGTAGTGTGTTACAGTTAGAAGGTGAGGCAGCTTTGTTTATCCAGTATTTTAATATTTTCATTTTAATTTATTCAAATTTGTTTTTATTGTTTTTAGATGGTATTTAATGTCATTTTAATGTTCTTGTTTTGATAAGTGATATTTCCACACCTCTGTAAAGGACTTTGATTTGGCTTGTGTCTGAATGGTGCTATATAATATAATATAATATAATATAATATAACTAAATTCAATCATAAAATGTGAAATAAAGAACTGCAACAGTGGTGCAGTTAGGCTTTAGTCCACTAGAGGACAGTAGAGGACAGTCCAACTCAGCAGAGACTCAGTCATGTGTCTGTCAGTCTGTATCAAACTTGTAACAGACATTTTGACTTAACTGGTCAACCAGTGAGGTCTAAAATGTTAACTAGCTGAACTAGTGGAAGCCAGAATGCTCATTAAACACACTAGTTCCTCTGAGAGTGACGCTGCTGCCCTGAGATAAGTTATCCACTCACTCATCCACTCTACCAGCCTGTGCATATTCTCATTTGTCCAGGTCATGGTATCCCAAAGGAGTTTTCAATCAAAACGCAACTGGACTTGATTATTTGTCTGGGTAGACGTTTCACCTCTCATCTGGTCACTCCCAGCCTGGTCAGATGCGTACACGAACTGATGAAGCCTCTTGGATGAGAGGTGAAACATCCACCCAGACAAATAATCAAGTCCAGTTGCGTTTTAATTGAAAACTCCTTTAGGATCCACTTTACCAGACTTATTTTCTAATTTAAGTTTTAAACTTTAATACAATACAGAGCAGAAAACTGTAAAACTCTGCGCTCAAGGTTCCACACTGTG